TTTTTTGGTAAATGTTTTATTACATTAAGTATTTGATCAGCAATATTCAATGTTGCACTTTTTTTATTTGGATAACTCATCAAATATGCTTCATTTAATTTATTATACTACTTTCATCCATATTCAGTATCAGTTGCTCAATAAATACTAATAAATTCTTTATCTGATTGAGTATGATTCATAAATGTATTTTGTTGTTTTACATTCAAAACATCATCTGCTGTACTAAGAAATACAAGTTTTGAATATTTTTCAAAATTATTTATTGTAAATCATGATGAATCAACATCAGATCCATTTTGTTTATTCAACATTTGAATAGCTGTAATACCTAATGGAATTGATTCATGAGATTGTATGTTTATAAACATAAACAGAAGAATATTAAAATATGAAAGATTTGTAGCCATGATATATTTTATTAAAGTTCTATTAAGAAATGATATCCTTTTATCTATTGTAGTATATTTCGTATTTCATATAAAACATCATGTCAGCAATGAGTAAATATATATTTAAAAAAAACAATGATATAATTTTTAGATGTTATATGTCATCTTTGATCCTTTTTTTTGCGTATACGTATATATAGAAAGCGAAAAATATAATCAATTTAAGTGATATTATTTATAATAAATAAAACTATGTTTACTATATTTCCAATGATTCTTGTTAAAGTTCAATTACAAACAACTCCATTAAACCAAAAGATTTGTTATGAAGTTGTAATTTCTCCAGATAAAAATCTTTTTTAGAGTCCATCAGATTTAGATATGAATATAGATTGGATAATCAAATGTGGTGATATTGTAGCATATAAACTACAATCATCTACAATTTTTTAATAGTCTGATTGTTATCTGACTAGTATGAACGATTCACAATCAACAAATAATAATGGACCAACACGAATGTAATCTTTATTTTCGAAGTATTATCGCATCTTGATTATATGGAAATCAAACCAATATAAATTAAAAAATGATAAATGTTAATAAAAACTATTTTTTTCCTCTACATAACAATAAAATTGACTTAATACAACTTAATGTTATATACATGTGTGTCATTGAAAAGATAATTCAATGTCATAAAAATACATGCACTATTTAACTATCGTGAGTACGTTCCTAATGATGCGATTGTTGAATACGACAAAGTTATTTTTGAAAATTTTAACAATATATTTACTTCGAGTAGAAAAATGGATTTCAGATTCATAATCAACATTAAAAAGTAAATCGATTAGACTATTTTTTAAACATTATTATATTCTCTCATATGGCATCAGCTTAATTAAACAATAATTTTTACACTAACATCCTATAGCAGATTCATTGTACTCTCTATGGGCATCACAGAAGCAATTTATTTTCATATGTATATACATGATCGTGTAGAAGTTTTCAAGGACTGCAAGCAGTGGTGGAATCAGAAGGTGGAAAGCATGAGCTCAGCTCGATCCCCTTCTTCCATCTGCATTTTCATGTCATTCACTATGGGTATTAATAAACGTTATTTATGTTCAAAAATTTTGGCATCATAAAAGTTATCTGTATGTATTTGTATGTTCTTTAATGACTTATTTTTAATTTATATCACCGACATAAATATTTTATCTTCTTTCTATTGATAGTTTTCACTTTAAAATATAAAAATTTTACTCAATTTTCTCAACATACACAATTCTTAAGCAACTTTAATCAAAACCTTATACTCAATTTGTTTAATTAAAACTATTACGGTACTAATTTTTACAACTTTACAAGAATTTTCTTATCAGACAAATAATAATAATAATAGAAGCACATGCGAATTGATTACACACAAATCTCTGTTGATTTTATTTCATACTCAAACTGACACAATACATACATTTTAACAAGAAAAGTAAATGATGATTTTTTTTTGTTTTAGAAAATATTTTTTAATCTATATGCGTTTATGATTCGTATTATTGTTATTATTAATATTATTTTTGTTTATCTTTAACAAAAACTATTATGAGATATATTCAAAATACACATGATTATATGTTCAGAAGACATTATGTCTAGTTATTTCTTCTAGCAATATATATATACATATATGTAAAGAGAGAACGAAAGAGAAAGATGGAACTATTTCACATCTATTAATTCAATTTTTTTATTTAGATCCTAATAATCATTCATGTATCAAATCGAGTATCTTCAATGTTTTTGTCTCATAAAAAAACGAAAACAGTCGTTCTGAAAGCTAGTATATCTCAATATAAAACACAACTAATCATTCTTTTTGTCAATATTAAAAAAAGGATGACCATATTTATCTCTTTCTCCTTTGTTATAGTATAACATAAGATAAAAAATATACAATTTTATCAAACTTTTATTTTATTGTAACAATTTATAACATAGGAAAATATTGGTGACATTTTTCTGAAGAAAATGATTGATCTAGATCAAGATCTTTGACTCTACTAAAGTTAAAATATGTTGTATCAATGGTAAAATTGTTTGTTATCATTATAAGTGATTCATATTTGATGTCAAGGTTAAATAAATAAGGTAGATAACTTACTTTCTTCAAGAGAAATTGTTCAGCATAATCGTCATGTGCCAATCTTAGATCAAGATGTTTAAGATGATGAAAAGTAATTAATTCAGTAGATGAATACTGTTTATATTTTTGTGGTTTATTATTACGTATATGCAAAATTTCGATAAAAGGTATATCATGAGAGATAATTTGAAAGAATTGATATTCAAAAGGAATCACATCAATAACTACCAAATATCGAACTGAATGAAACATGCCTCCTGGAAAAGAATTATTGATTTCAAGTAAATATTCGAATTGATATGGAAGTGAATAAATATGACATTTTGATTGGATACGTGAATTAATATTAATATATGAATCAATTTGTTTATATATTTCTTTTCCAATAAAACTACGTTGAATATCTTCATTTGATGAAAAACTAATATTATTATTACGTCTATAAACAATTGTCTGAATATTAAATGTAAATTTAATTAACTTATTCATATGACAAAGAAGTTCATTATATAATTGAATACCATCAAC